ACTCTTTCCTGGGCGTTGGACTCAATGATCTGTTGAGGTCCCTTCCGACCCTAGAATCTATGAATCTAAGTTCTTAAGTGCAAAAAAAAAATACTGAAGAAAGACGGCATTTAATTTGAAATGGACTCTTTCTTAAACCTTGCAACACCCTGAAAAGGTAGGGAAATGTGTTACTAGTGGAAATGGAAAATAAAACCAAAGAAGTGAGAAACAGGCAGCTGATCTGAAAGCAGGTGGTGTCAAAGAAAATAGTAATCTAAACCATCTAATGGGCTAAATTAATCTTTAAGGTTTAGCAGATAATGAGATAAGAAGTCCTCTAATCAGACAGGATTATACTTTTGCTCTATGTAGTTTGATATTTTGCCTCTGTCAGAGGCCGGTGCAGAATGAAAATTATATTTAGTCAGTGTATTTAGTGCCGTGTGACAGACAGCTTTCCTGACCTTCACCAGAATGCAATTTTCTGTGCATAAGGGTAAGATTTTTCTTACTTCACTGTGATATTTCCTTGTAATAGCTGGTTGAAAATATGTTGGAGCTTCAATTACAGCCAACCCATTTGAGAGTACAGTTGAGAAGACTGTAATTTGACTATGATGAATGGTTAATAAAATAAAACTAGGAAGAAGGTGATCCTTGCCATTTTCCTGGTCAGTAGTCTCCCCTCTAGTGTTCATCCCAGGTCAGGTTTTAAACTGTTATCAATAACGGGTACATCTATACGTGCACAGTTACTGTGTGGTAACTGAAAGTTACCACACAGTATGGGTGCACATCTACATGTGCACGCCTGTACTGTGCAGTAACTATGGCGACTTTGTTACTGCGCAGTAAGGTGCTTGTAGACACCTTACTACACAGTAGCACTGTATGTAGACTGACTTGGAAGAAACTTTTCTCCCAAATGGGTGCGCACACTGCGCTATAATGCCTACATGTGTAGATGCTGATCTAAAAACCACTTACTGCGCAGTAAATGCATGTGTAGACATGCCCAATGAGTACCTTCTTACATGCTGTAGAAGACTCTTCCCACAACTGTAATTTAATACCTGTCATTAGTAAACCTTCAACCAAGAAAAGACTCTCTGCCCCCTCCTTCACGATCTTCATAAATCTGAGAGTTCTCCCTATTGTTTTGTATCTCCTTATACATGGTTCTGCTTCTACTACCTTCAGGGGACCTTAGGCGTGGATTGTCTTCCCCCTAGCTCCATGGGTTAAAAATAAGTTACCTTAGCAGTTGGACAAAAATTTGTCTGGGATGGTTTAGGCAGGGATGTTCCTACCTTGAGCAGGAGTTTGAACTAGATGACCCCGGGAGGTCCTTTCCAGCCCTATTTTGCTATGATTCTGTGATTCCTTGTTAGAAACAGGTCTGTCTATCAGTCGCACAAAAATTTCCAGAGGAAGCCAAAACTATCATGGGGTCTTTAGCCAATTAGTGCATTTCTGTTCAGTGGAGGAGGGTTTTCTTCTGGGCATATCCATGGCATGCATAACAGAAGTAGCATGGACAGCCTCTGTGTGTAAGGAAGGAAATAAGCAGCACAGCATCAGATGGGCAAGGAAGGATGAAGCAGAGCAGGAGACTTGGCACAGGGAAAGCAGAAAGCAGAGCAGCAGATGAGACAGGAGAAGCAGATTGGAGTGGCACTCAAGGAGGATGCGGGGCTAATTTGTGTCATGCCTGCCAAAAAAGTTGGCTCCCACTGCCTTAAAGGATAAGCCTTGATTGCTTTTCTAACACCTTGTATTTCACTTTCCATTACAGATAGTAGAGAAGAATGCTGATCCTGAGCAAATGCTATTGTCTTACCTAAGAAAGAGATGTATCCTTTTCTTCTTCACATATTTAAAGCAATATTCTGCAGATATTTTTCAGGCAAATCTCCCCACTGATGATTATTAGAGCCTGATAAAGATAGTTGGATTGGCCTTTGAAGCAAAGTCAAATGACCACACTAAATTACTATCCCTTTTAAGAATCAAATACTCTTCAGTGGTCTGCTGTATTTTTTATATCTAGAACAAGGGCAAATTCCATTAGTCTATAAAAATGGACTTAATGTTATCTCCACTCTTCCAGGACTGGTTTATCAGTTAGAGCATGTTCCTGAGTCATGCTGTCTGTTTGTGTACCTAATTTGAACACCAAGTTTCTGTGACACTTTGGGAAGGTTACTCAACCTCTTTGTGTCCCTGTACTTTTTGTAAGGTGAGAATAATAGATCTCTTATCATTTGTGCAGGGCTTTAACATCCTTCAGTGGGAACGTTATATAAGTGCAGAGTATTGCAAAATAGCAGGGGTGCTGTAGTACTTGGAGTGATTTAGGCCCGATGTCCTAATTTTTTGGATAGGAGGCTAAATTTTTATGGGGGTTGGTACATTAGACCATTGTTAATGTACCAACCATTGTTAATGTACCAAGTGTTTATGAGTAAGTGAGTGTAAAAGCGGTAGTAAGGAGACTGCATCCCAAAATGTGTTTGCATTACCTAAGGAGTAGGATAGTTTATTTGTACTGTTCTGTAGTTGAGCTGGCAAAAATAATGAAGCTGTGCAACACTGCTCTTTAATCATTCATGAGGAAGGGTTGGCAGTGTATAGATTAGCAAAGTGTGAAGGGAGGATTCAGCTTTACTTTACTTCTGAACTAAAGTGACACTCCAGAATGTTATCAAAAACCATGATGCTGCTAGAAGTGCCATCTTTTGCGTAAGCTGCAAAACTGATGTCTTGATCTCTAGGACGGCATTAGAAATGCAGTGGCATTCTGGGGAAGAGTAGTTTCAAAATTCCATTCAAATCAATCCGCCCACTGGGCTACCTGGTTATACTTCAGCTGTACTTTCCTGTAAAAATGAGTGAAGTGAAGGGCACTTGTGTGAATGCAAGAACATAAGATACAGGATCTGAGAGGTAGGCTGGGAGGGAGGTCAGAACCTAGAAGAGGAGGATGAGAAGTTAAAACTTGATGTAGCATGTCAGGGGGAGCCAATGAAGAAAACTGGAGGCTTTCAAAGCACTGCTTGAGGAGCACAAATTCTGGTCTTTCACTAAACCTCTACTTTTGGAAATTGTTCTGGTTGTACATAAGAATCAAAATATGACAGTCACTTTGCAGCTTATGATGACATTCAGATGCTGTGTAGTTTTGCATTTGGAATTCTAATATTTTACAATTCCAGAATAAATTCCGAGCACTGTTGTACGTTAACTTCAGTAGTAACTACTTGGAAAATCTTGTCCTTGAGGACTAATGCATCAATTGAGTAAAATACTTGACAACATGCTTAAGTCTCTTTAGGAGATTTGGACCATAAATCTTTCCTCACATTTTTCAGTGAATTACTGAGTTGGAATTAAATATATAAGCACTGTAAAATACCTGCTGCTGTTTTTATCCCAACAGTGTGTTTACATTTTGTGGGCTTGCTCTTGCTTTCAAAGGAAGTCAGCATCAAATTTCCATTGCCTTAGGTGGGAGCTGTTTTTTAATTTTGGTCTTATGATAATTGCAGGTTTCGACTCCTGTAAAAATCAGTGCCATATATGTGAGCTGTGGCACTAACTCAGTTACATATTCCACATGTATTGCCTTCAAAAGAAAATTGTTCTCAAGCTTTATACATTGTGATGAACTGTTGGGAGCAGAGCAACTGCCGAAATGAGACATTAAATACCTGTGGACTTTTTATTTCCTTAATTGCAGTTGTTTCAGTCCGTCTCACAGGAACTAAGTACAGCTGTGGTGGAGGGGGCTGTGGTGCCTGCACTGTGATGATATCAACATATGAACCACTTTCCAAGAAGATTTTGTATCCTTAACAAAAGATGTGTAAACTCTGTTGAATTTTGTGACATTTTAAAAAAGAAATTTGATTTCTGCTTACTGAAACAAATAAATAGTTATATTTAAAAACAAAAGGTAGTAAGTTTTCCTTGTGTAGCACTGCAGAAGCTTTGTAAAATGGTTACCTAATAATAGCATAGATGTTGAGACAAAGTTCAGTAAGTGGAGCAAACTGTGCATTCAGGCATGTTATAAACTAATTGAAGTTCCTATGTCCAAATGCAGTATTTGGTCACTGGTCAGTGAAATTTTGCAAACACCTTCAACAACTGCAGTTTTTGGAGCATGACAACCACTATCAAGAACTATTGCTGACTTAGAGTAGTGCTTCAGTGGTTGATTAAGTAGCAGGGCTCTTGACAGCCCATCCTATGATGGAAGTCATTGGTGGCTAATCTTCTATTATGGACTTTGGAGGGTGCACTATGATGAAGAGGAGAAAAGGTTACCCTTTAGTAATGCTTTTCACAAAATTTTAATTTGGAGCAGTTTTCCATTGTTAACATTGCACAGAATAATTTTGTTACATGGGAGGGAAAAGTTTAATTAAAATGAAATTAAAGTTAAATTTAAAATTAATTTAATGTTTGCTTTTTATTAAAATAGTATATGCATTTCATGTTCTATTTGTAAGTGTATCATGGTTTAATATAAATATCAAAATCAAAACAAAATGAATTAACCGATACTGTTGAAATGAAACATATCAGTGATTTTGATAGAAAATGTTTTGATAGTGCTGAAAAACTGCAGGAAACTTCATTTCATGGTAAATTTTGAAATGTTGCTATTTCAAAGCAATTCAGAATTTCCCATGGTTCAGAAATTCTGGTTACCATCCAGTGTCATCTACCAGGGGTAATATTTGTTCTTTGACTGTTTGGCATGCAAAGAGCCTCCCTTATCCTCTCCCCTGCTGTGTGCTTAGAGCCCAGTTATAAATAGAAATAGTAGAGGGGAATTATATGACAGAAAGGGTAAGGTATTTCATATCCAAGGCCTGTAGACTGGTAGCCTGAAATGTTGCGCAGATGCTCTATAACTGCAATGGTTGTGGCCCCATGACTAGACAAGTGACTCCAACAGTGTGAATAAAGTTACAACTGGTAGGTTTCCCCTTTTATTGAGTATTGCTTAAGATGTTGATGGCTGCTTTATAGAAACTGGAAACTTTATCTTCATTTTCCACAGTACGGTTAAACTATTTTTAAAGTCTTTTATTCTCCTTACAATCCAAAGACATTTTTCTGCCAATGCCTGCTTATTACCCATATGTTCTCTGCACGGTGCTGCAGTCACCACTGTAGAAGGTGTTGGAAGCCCAAAAACCAGGATTCATCCAGTTCAGGTGAGGGCTTGCCATTAGGAGTAAACGGATTTCTTCCTTTCGTTTATTCCTGTATGTCACTGGATGGCTTGGCAATGTTGTTACAGCAATAGTTTTCAACCTGTGATCCATGGACCCATTGGGGTCCTGTCTAAGGAGTCTGTGAAAGATGACTTTGATCAATCAAAAGTATGTGAATACCCATGTTTACAATACAAAGGGGTCTGCACCCCCCTTTAAAAAAATGTAGGGGTCCTCAAATGAAAAAAGGTTGATGCTCTAACACAGTTTAGGATATTGGAGAAAACTGTGCTGGTTGTTCTCTGTCCAGGGCCCTAATAGGCAGTCTAGTCTGTGCTGATTGCTTTGGGAGCCACACTTGTTTGGAACTTTGACTGGCAGCCTTAACCCAACTAATGACTCCAGTTGGCCACTGTCTGGGCCTCCTGATTGGCTGCTGAGAGTGCAGCTTCCCATTTTAGTTCCAGCTGTGGCAACAGATTCCAGGCCAGCCAACAGTTCCTGCTAATATTCTGTCCTGGCAAGCCTACGTGACATAGTACTCCTGGTTTCCTGACTCCGCTTGCTCTGTTCTTGGGCTCTGGCTTCTGGATTTTCTCTTTGTTTGGTAATTTTGCCTCTGTCTCCTGAACTTTGACTCAGCTTGTGATTCATACCTTGCCCCTCAGACTTCCCTTGGATCTGGCAACTTTGTATCTCTGTTTCCTGACCCCAGATTTGCCCTGTGTTTCAGACCCTGCCCTGGTCTCTGGCTCTCATCTGGTAGCCTAACCACTAGGCAAGACTGCCTACAGCCTGATCCATTTCATTCTCATTGATAAAACATAACTGAGTATTCTGGATTTTTAAACTGATTCTACAGTGAAATTCAAAATAAGTAATAGACTAGACAAGAAAGCTGAGCATCACTGACTCATGTTGTCACTGGGACATGGCATTGCTGAATTCAGCAGCACCTACCCCTGCAGCTCCTGCAGGATTAAACCCTTAAGCTAGCACTGATCCTCTTCCTCCTCCCTGAGTGCTGCTCCAATCCCCTCCTGCTCCCCAGGTACTGCCCTAACTCCCATCACTGTCCTCACTCCTCTTTTTAACTTGATGTCTAGAGCTTGCATGCCTAACACACCAGCAGCTCATGACATTGTGGCATGAATGCTGTGGGTTGGCCACCACTGGTTTAGGTATAATTGATCCTGACTTTGGGGCAGAGAAGTGCTAGATGATTTCCTGAGGTCCCTTCTAACCCTATTTTCTATGATATTATGGTTGTGAAAGGTCAGGCATTTTTTTGACGTGCCAGTAAAAAAATGACTTCCTTCTGTTTTAAACCTGCTTCTTGATAATTTGTGTGCTGTCCACTTATATTCTGAGTCCTAATGAATAGTAATAGCTTTAAAAGTGAATGAAAAGGGAACTTTATTAATACAGCATTTAAAGGCAGAGCATGCCTGCCCTGTTTCATTCCAGGAAAGGCTAGCCAAGTGCCATGGTTCTCAGTGTGGCTTCTGCACCCCTGGAATGGTGATGTCCATGTACACTTTGCTCAGAAACCACCTGGAGCCCTCCATGGAGCAGATAACTGCAGCTCTGGCTGGTGAGTTTTCTCATCTGAAAGTCATTTGGAATTGTAAGTATCTTCTTGGTCCACATTTGCTGTTGGATACTCTGCACATGTGGGTCTGACTCATAGCTTCTCTACAGAAGCTTCTCTACAGCCATGCACATAGCTTCTCTACAGAAATTCAAAATGTTTTTGCTAGTAGTATCCTGTTGGGGCCACAGGTACCATCATGCTACTTCCTCCTGATGGCATAAAGGACAGAGTGGCCCCAATCATCACTATTATACTAATTGTTGCTACTGCTTTACAGCTTTTTTCCCTCATTCAGTTTCCTCCGTACAGCTCATGGATGAAAATAATAATCACAACAGGTTTAGTTTAGTTAGAGCCAGTCCCAGGGTTCAGCTGTGTTACAGAACCTGAGTCCCAAGGCTCTAAATCAGTGGTGGTCAATCTTTTTGTGTGTGGGGTGGAATGGGCAATGCCTGGTCCCTCCGCAAGCTGGATCCAGATGGTAGACCCAATCCAGCACCTAGGATGAGCGTGCCAGGACAGGGGGGTAGTGCAGCCCTGAGCCAGCCTTGCACGGAAAGGGGAGTTGACCTGGCCCTGTAGGGGGAGAGGGCATGACCCCACTTCAGTCCAGCCCTGCCAGGGTAGGGGGCATAGTTTGACCCCAATCAGGTTGGAAGGGGAGGAAGGAGGGTTGGCCCAGCCCCAGGGTATGGGGGGCATGGCCTGGCCTGAAACCAGCTGCTCAAGGGTGGGGCCCAGCCCCACTGGGAGAAGGAGGGAAATGGCCAAGCTCCAGTCTGGCCATTCAGGGGCAGGTTCATGGCCTATCTCTGACCTGCTGTGCAGGGCTTGGGATTTTGGCAGCATGGCACTATTAACTGCCACTGCTTCACTGCTTTCCTGCCACCAAATTTCCTGACACATGGGGATCCTCGCAGGCTGGTCTAAGACTCTATAGACCGCATTTAGCCTATAGGCCGGAGGTTGGACACCCCTGCTCTAAATCATTTCCTTCTTGTAAAGGAGTAATCATTGCCTCATTTCATAGTCATATAATTGTAGGATTGGAAGTGGCCTTGAGGGTCATCTGAACCCATCCACAAATGCAGGATTCTGTATTCCTAATCCCAGATTTATGCCTGCCCCACATCTTCATGAAAACCTCCAATGAAGATTGTATAACTCCCATAGGCAGCTTGTTTAATCATCCTATGGCTCTTATAACTGAGGTTTTTTCCTGAGATTTGTTCTGAATATGCTTTATTATAGTTTACATCCATTGGCATATGTCCTGCCCTGTGTTTCAGGGAGAACAGTGAACAGTTGTTCCTCTTCTTTTTTCTATGGAAGCCCTTCAAATACTAGAAAACTTCAATATGTCCACTCCTTCATCTATTTTTCTTGAAAATGAACATAAATAGTGCTGAGCCCTTATTCATGTGTTGCTTGCCTATGGACCCTCTCTAGTTTCTCCAAATCCTACTTTAAAATATGGTAGCCAATACTGGATGCAGTACTCAAGGTAAAATCTAACCGGTGCCACATAGAACAGTACTAGCACCTTCTATTCTTTTGTATACAAACTGAATTTGGATCTGTGCCCGCCCCTGCTCCACAAGACGCTCTCGTGCGGCCTTAGCCCGGACTATCGATCAAGCCTGTCCTGGGCTTGCGAGTAGACCCCAAAGACTACCCCGGCTGACGTCAGGGGACCCCCTTAACTGGTCTGCCACGACTTTGAATGGTACCTCAGTGGAGGGGTTCCCCTTTGAGGCAGCCTCCAGGGTCGTCATGCCTCCCGGTGGGCACTCACAGGGCTCCGACCTCCCCTACACCCCAGCCCATCACCACCTTGGGTTGCAGGTCTTCTGGCCCTTTGGCATCCTTGGCTCCACCCGACTTCTCCCAGTGGCCCTCCAGCCACACGTCAGTGTCTTCAGGTCGCGACTCGATGTGCAGACTTCAAGGCCCTTGGACCTGGATCCCACTAACCCGTATCCCTAGCACCCTATCCCAACCACCCTGTGACTTAGCGTGGAATTCCCACCACCGTGACAGCCGAAGCAATGCGGCCAGTGGGCCAGGAGGCCATGAAGAGTGCCCTTAGCCTATGGGCCCCGTGGATCCCCTGTGCCTAGGTGCCCAGCCCCGGTTGCTTGCCCCACTCAGGTATGGAGTCCCGGCCGATTATCCTTGGGCTGTAGTGGGGTCCGTCCGCCATTTGTCCCAACCCTGCTTGGGGTCTTCTGCCACATCCCACAGTGGTACCCGATGGGGTTCCCGTCGGCCACGCCCCTATTACCTCCTCTCCAGGACTTCCCTGCCGGCTTGCCAGTTGACACCTCCGTCGGCTTGCCCGTCACTGCCTCTGCCAGTTCTGTAACCGGCCCCTCTGCCGGTGCAACTGCCGGTGCAACTGCTAGCTCTGCTGCAGGTGTTGCTGCTGGTGCCTCTGCCGGCTCCGCTGCTGGCTCCTCTGCAGGCTTCACTGTTGGCTCCTCCGCCGGCGTCACTGCCAGCTTTGCTGCCGGCTCTGCTGTCGGCGTCGCTGCCGACTCTGCTGTTGGCTTCACTGCAGGCTCTGCTGTTGGCGTTGCTGTCAACTCCGCTGTCGGCTCTGCTGCCGGCTCCGCTGTTGAAGCCTTCCCAGGCTCCGCCCCCAGCTTCCCGCGCTGCCTGACGCAGCAGTTGCATCCCTCGGGGTGTGGGCTTCCCCCTCAAGCCTCTGCTCGTCTGCCGCCCTCCTGCACCCTCGGGGCCGCTTTTTATCTCTGCCGGGTGGCATCTCCAGCCAACGCCGACTTTTCTTTAGTAAAAAAAAAACAAGTGAAAACTAAGACCTGTCATTTTCTCAGGGGTGCCTTGAGTCTAGAAGAAAAAAAAAGCCCCACACTCACCTGCTTCTGCCAGGCAGGGGGACAATCCTCACTGCTCCCCACTACCCCACGCTGCATAGGAGACTCTGCCACGAGCCTCCATCCCCTGCCTGCTCTCCCAGCCCCATCAATGGCTGCCTTGCCCAGCACCAGCATCCCAGCTCAGAAGAAGAAAAAAAAAAAGCCCTGCACTCACCACGTCCTGTCAGGTGGGGGGAGGTGGGGGCGATGCAATGCCCTGCATTGTGTGGGGGGCTCAGAAGCCCTGACACCTGCTGCAGCAGCCATTGCGTGCAGGGCTTTTATTTAATTATTTTTTTTAAAGAGCCAGGACACTGGAGCTGGGTGGGCCAACTATTGACAGGGCCAGGAGAGTGGGCGGGGGATGGGGGCTCATGGCAGAGCCTCCCATGTGGTGGAGAGCAGCAGGGATTGCCCCCTAGCTGGCAGGATCCGGTGAGTGCGGGGCTTTTTTTTTTTTTTTTTTTTTGAAGAGCTGGGACACTGGAGCCAGGCGGGTCAGTCATTGACGCTGCTAGGAGAGTGGGCAGGGGTTGGGGAGCACTCAGGGGAGCTGGGGGAGCAGGCAGGGGATGGGGCCTGGCAGGGGGCTGCTAACCCATGGTCCTCAGCCCCCTCTTCCAACCCCGCTCCCCCTTCCACCCCCTACTTACCAGCAAGGAGTCCGGATCCAGCTCCCTGCGGTAGCAAGCAGGGACTACCTGAATTGCCAAATCTTTTCAGAATTGATTCAGACCTTTTTATTGGTCTCCCAATTCAATTTGGATTTGAAGATTTGGCCGTCGAATTGGGCTGAATCTCCTCCAAATCGAATCAGCACCTGCAGCTTTGCACAGCCCTAATATGCATGCTTGAAGGTTTGACATGTGTAGTGTGTTAGTGGGTGGGATATGCTGCACTGAGGTGATCCCTGGAGGGCTTGAGAACCTGTGTAGACATACAGGCAACCCCTGCTTAGTGCTCTTAATTGGTTTCAGAAAAACCAAGCGCTAAGCAAAACTGCACTAAGCAAAACCCATTTCCCCATAAAAATGAATGTAAATAGAGATGAATTGGTTACTGCCTGCCTTGCCACTGCCTCTCCCCACTCCTCCGCCCACCTGCCAGCACTTCAGCCCCACTTACCAGCCCAGGCCTGTGCTCCTGCTGCCCTGCTTTGGGCCCCTGCTGGTCTTGGCCCTGGGCACTGCCATGAGTCACAGGCTCATGCCCAGCCCCTCCTCACTGCTTCTCACTACTGCCTCTCCCCACCCCCCTCACTTGCCTGCCGGCCTCTCTGACCCCACTTGCCAGCCCAGACACTGGCACTGCTGCTGCCCTGCTCTGGGCACCGGCCCCTGCCGCCAGGCACCGATGCAGGCCCTGCGCTCCTGCCACCCCACTGGGCACAGGCCCCCACTGGCCCTGGCCCCAGGCACCGGCACGGGCCTAGCACTACTTGCCTCTGTCGCCGCCACTTCTTCCCATGCACCCGCCTGCTCCAGTCTAGGCACCAGTGCTCCTGCTTCCCTGCTCTGGGTGCAGGCTTCCACTGGCCCCGGCACAGGCCTCACACACCAGCGCAGGCCCCATGCTCCTTCCCCCCACCCTGGGTACAGGCCCCTGCCAGCCCTGGCCCTGGGCACTGGCTTGGGTCCCACACTCCTCCCCTCTTTTGCAGTCATTTGTCTCTACTCCCCTGCCCACTCCGGCACCGTGTGTCAGCCTGGGCCTGCACTTCTGCCATCCCACCCTGGACCCTCATGCCTGCCCGCCCACTCACTGGCAATCACTCACCTGTTACTTGCTGCTGCTGCTTCTCCCTGCCCACCTGCCTGCTGAAACCCCTGTACTTGCAGAGTGATGTGGAATCAAGACTGAAACACTTTTTCTAATGGAGAAGTGTAGGTGGCCAGTTTTAGATTCTGAAGTGCCTCATAAGCATGAAGTTCTAGTACCATCTTCATAAACACAGATTTCTAATGTCTCAAAAGTTAGCAAAGTGACTTCAAGTTCCAGGGGTCTAAAAGAACCAATTCAGTCCTCCCCTGTGTCATCTATCACAACTATAATAGTGATCCAGTCACATTAGGAGTAGTCAATTACCCTCACTGCTCTCATGAATAAAGAGTATGACTTCCTTTTGACAGGGACCCTTTTTACTGGTACTCCACAAGAAAAGGCTGGATGGGCACTTGGGCAGAAAGGGTAGTGCCTTTGAGTCTGTCACTCCATCAGTTTCTTCCTTTGGCGTTGTAGTTTCAGAGGATAATGTCCAGCTAAGTAGGGCTGCGTGAAGCTTCAGTTGCCAATTCAGTTTGGAAGAGATTTGGGCCAATTCGGCGGCAGAATCTACGAATCCAAATTGAATCGGGAGACCCATTAAAAGGTCTGAATTGAATCCGAAGCCTCTGAATTGATTTGGAAAAAATTCAGAGAGATTTGGATCCGATGGGGAGAGGTAGGTGCAGTCAGGTGGCTGCAGGTTCTCCTGCAGCTCCCCCCGGGCTGGCGCCTCCCTCCCCCAAGGCAGGGAGAGCTGCAGGAGAAGCCCCCATGGCTACCCTGCCTGGCCCCAGCCCCAGCCTCCTGGCACTTAAAAAACCCCCCCAAAACCCTCCATATTAGGGCTGTGTGAAGCTTCAGTCCCTGATTCAATTCAGCAGAGATTTGGCCTTATTTGGTGGCCAAATCTTCAAATCGAATCAGGAGACCCTTTAATCTCATCCCCCCCTATGGCCGATCACTGAGTGGGGGGTGGAGCACGGGGGGCCACCAGTGCGCTCCCTGGCAGACCTGGATGTGGATCGGAAGTATTCTCGGTCAACTTCTGGGTTAGGTGCTGAGCACATGGAGGACTCCCCCGCACTCCTGTGGGAAGCTCCATCTGCCCCAGCATCGCAGCGATCGTGAGCTGTGTCTGGTACCTCGAGGTATGTAGAAAAAACTTTTAAAACTGTGTCTGTGTCCAAATCATTGATTCTCCGAATCAGCGTCGAATCTTCAGATTCAGATTAATCAAATCAGGGACAGTGATCTGAATGAATTGAATCACTGTCCCTGATTCGGCCCAAATCCAAATCAAATAGGGCCTGCTTTGCACACCCCTACTCCATATTCACTGGCTGTAGCAGGGGCTATGGGGGCTCTGGGGCCTCCTCGCAGAGCCCCCACACGCAGCCCCCGATTGCCCAGCCCCGCACCTGATGGACCCCCTGCCTGGCCCCAGCAGTCTGGGAATAAAAAAAAACGCACTCACCAGCAGTAGCAGCAGCTGTGGGGGCTCTGGGGCCATGTGGCAGAGCCCCCCACCTCGCACAGCTCCTGCTCCCCAATCTCTCCCCCACAACCCAGCCCCACCCTGATGGCTGCCCTGCCCAGCCCCACCATTCTGGCAATTAAAGAAAAGAAAAAAGCCCCACACTCACCGGCTGCAGCAGTGGGGGGCAGCAAGGATCCCCCCCACCCATACCTGGCACCCGCACAGCAGCTGCCCCGTGGCACATTACTGTGCAGTAACACTGTGTGTGTGAACTGACTTGGGATTAACTTTACTCCCAAGTCAGTCCAAACACAGCATTACCGTGCTTTAATGCCTTCACATGTAAATGCTGGCCTAAATCTAATATCTGTGCAGCAAATGCACATGTAGACATGCCCACTATTACTTAAAGTGCTCAGAGCTTTACACCCAGTGCCACTGACACCTAAAGGAATTGCCTTTGCTACCGTCAGACCTAAAAATAAACTCAGATCTGGAGTCCCTAATATTGACTATATCTTCCATATCTGGAGCTCCAAATCTGTCCCTGGTGATGTAACCCAGATTTCCAATCATGAAGCTTTCATTAAGCTAGGATAGTTCCTGAGAAGTTAAGGAACTCCTTGGATGGTTTCAAGGCTACCCCACATGACAGAAATTGAGGATATAATTTGATATCTCCTTCAGGTTTGGCAGTAAAATTTCCAGTACAAACTCATTCAGGGTCTTGTTCACTGCATTAAACTACTGAATGAAGAGGAAGGAAGGGGATCATCAAAGAGAATCACTGTTATAGATAGGCTTCTTAAGCTCTTTTCCTGTGAAGGTGATCATACTGCCTGTAACATCTACATGTGGGTGATGTTATTGGTTTTCAAGACCTTTGAAAATGGCTAAAACACTGGAGATCCATCTAGTACTGGTATTGGAGGGCACATGTAAACTTTCTGATGTATTCCAACCAGCAGGTATCAGTGAAAGGAGTTTGGAACCTGATAAAGATTTATGGGCCATACCAGCTTGAGTTTCTTTTTTGGTAAAACAAGCAAATCAGAGGCACTGTGTTTCTTCTAAATGGTTTTGAATATTTTTTCACTCATCCAAAAGCACCCCCTTTGAGAGTCATGGGAGTGAGCAAAAGGTCTAAACAAGCACTGAAACTGACCCATACAGAGAAGGAACCAAAACAGCTATTGCTGTAAGGCAGGAAGATCAAATTTTCAGTTCCTAGGAGAAGCCAGGGAGCTAATTACCAAATCATTCTTGTAAAATATATTAGAGCATTGGATTTTATGGACATCATTGTATTCCTTTTTCATAAGTCTGTTAGGTGATTACTTTTAGTAAAAAGCAGCAAATGAAACAGGAAATAGTGTCATCTCAGAGAATATAATAGCACCTAGTGGGTTACACTAGGCTGGCCTGTAATATTAAGGCAGAAGGCAGGATAGATTTTCATTTTAAAGGCTTCATCAGCCACTGCTCATGAAAGCTAATGCTATACATCCCTGATTTAGTTGCTCTATAAGGTGCAAATCCACCCTGCCTGACTTCAAATTAACATGGCTAACTACCTCTTTCTGTGATGTTAACACATTAGACTCACCAAAACATATAGAGGCTCATTAAATTAGAGCAGAAGCTACTTTGTCTGCCTGTTTCACCAGAGCTCCAGTAATTGAGATTTGTAAAGTAGTTGTGTGGTCTTTAATTCATGAATTTGTGAATCATTACTTGTTGGTGTTGTGCAGATTGGCTTCTAAAATTAAGGTAATGCTTATACAGTCTTTATTCAGAGTGCCTAGCTCTGGTTCTCAACCTTTTAAGACTTAAGGCAGTCTTTGCTAGTCTCAAAGCACCCGTTGGAAAATGTCAACTTTTTTTTTACTCGCTTTTTTACTACAGAAAAGTAATAGAGCAATTCTGTTGCAAAGAACTCAGAAAGACTAGAAAAGGTCAGAATGCTTTTAACAGTATGGCTTTCTGTTGGAAATCCTCAGGTTTGTTTTGGCAAACATGTTTGCCTGCCAAACATGGCACCTCTGAAAGGAACTTGGGGCACCCTAGGGCACTGGTTTGATAATCATTGGTCTAGCTCCTGTTAGCTGTAAAACTAGAGGTAGCTATATGCCACGAGTGAGATTCAAATGCACAGATGTTTGAAGAAGAAAGCATGGTGACATCGTATAGTAGTTATGTTTCTTTGTGATGTTCTGTGCTATGAAGCCTCCAACTCTTCCTGATTTACCTGCAGCTCAGAATCATCTCATTTGGATTTTGGGTGTTAAAGAAACTCAGTAACAATTGGCAACCTCTGTCCTTTATACCATTATGTGTAAGAGAGTAAGGTCTTGCAGGGCACATGTATGGTGCCTAACAGATACTTCTGGCAAAAACATTCCAAGCTTCTTTTCAGGGGGCGTGTGCGCACCATAAGTGGGATCCCCATAGACAGAACATCTTGGGGGGCCCACTCTTAGAGTAAGGTAACTAAGTAATCCTTCCCTTTTGATACAGTTCAGACAAGCTGATGAAATGTTGTGTTTAAAGAATAATCATGTTAAAAAATTCCAACCCAACAACGAATTCTTGGCTGCCTAAAAATCTGCAAGCTGCCTTTATACTTAAACCCACACCTGTGGCGTGTGCCTAAAATGCCCTTCAGCAGAGTCACGTCTAAGGCCAACATTGTCAAAAGCAGCACTTCTAACCTCTCACAAAAAGCAAGCCTTAGTATGAAGATTTTACTTCTCATTTATATGTTTTAGAATTAAGTTTTCTCTTAATGTTTTTTTCTGTTCAGGTAACTTATGCCGCTGTACTGGATATAGGCCAATCTTAGATGGCTGTAAAACTTTCTGTAAGGTAAGAGGTGATGATAAGGGGCATAATAGAACATTTTTTTCTAAGGATTTTTTTTTTATTTTCGGGGCGGGAGCTGAGGAAGCAGGGAAGATACAGTGGAAGAAATAAATTATTATGAACTATAACATCTAAACAACCACAGACAATTATGATTTTATACAAAATTGTATCTTTTTTTTCTATCAAGCGAGCTTGGCTTCCTATCTCAAGCTTCTCCTAAGAGTGGGGGGGTCTCTGTCCCCCTCGGCATCTCCCCATCATTCTTGACAGGCAAAATGCTTTATTTGCACTCTGATAGGTTGACAGAAACAACCAATCAGAGTGCTCGAAGCGACGCTGGCTTTGGCTCCCCTAGCCCGCAAGAGGCAAAACAGTGGGGTGTGGGGTGGTGGCACTCCATCCCAGCCCCCTTTCCCCCTTCTCCCTCCCCCCCCCGTCATTCTTGACAGGCAGTTGGGTAGTTACCTTCATATTGAGCATTGACATGACTGTTGCTAGAAAACTGTGTTCAGTTCATGTGGCAGAACCATCATTACATCAGATATATGTTTAATGATGGGGATATTACTATTTCAGGAATCATTTTGTTGTCAAAGGAAAGAAAATGGGAACTGTTGCTCGGAGGAAAAAGACAGTTCAGCTTTGTTTTGTGACAATGGAAGGAAGGTAAGCTTACTTTTCCCCAATCCTATTTAAATATAGAACTTGCACTAGATGAAGAGAATTACACTGCCCATTCCTTGTATCTAAAGAATGTACTTTGTGCTGTTTCATGCAGCTTCCTACACTTGGCTTCCTGTAGTGCAGTATGTCCTTTAGGGTTTCTGCTGCTGTTTTGTGAAAATGGGAACTCTTTTCGGGTTTTTTTTTAAATGCTGAGTATATTATCCTGGGTATTCAGAACGTTATTTTTCATTTTCACAGGAAATTAATGTACTGTTCACAGTTGAAAATTCTGCGATACATTCAAAAACTAAGGACTGTTTGCATGTTGGACAGGGTGGTGTGTGAAATGGGATTTTACCTTTTTTTCCACCACTGTATTAATGTAGGGGAATTTTGCATATTTGTATCATATTCTGAGCGTAGGCAGTAGGAGAAAAAAATTTGGGGTTGTGGGGAAAGTCTGTGGAGGGAGCGGGGAAGAGGGAGTGGGAGTGGGGCTAGGGCTAGGGCTCCGACCAGGCAGGGATCGGGAGGGAGCAGAGCTGAGTCTGGCCCAAGATCAGCGCCAGGGCCCTCTGCACCCATGCAGCCGCCCCTTTCCCCACGCCCAGGGTCATTAACCAGCTCCGGCACCTCCCACACAAACAAACCCACTGCCCCCCAGCCCTGCACCAGCCCAGCTACTTCCCCACACAGGCCCCAACCCCACACCACCCAGGGGGGCCCAGAGCCAGGGGTCAGAGCAGGGAATGGAGTCCCCAGGGCCCCCACACCCGCCCCTGCACACCTGGGGCGGGGGGCGGGATGGAGCCACGGCTCATCCAGAGGGCATGGGGGGTGTGGTTCCCACCGCTGCACGTGTCCTGGGAGGCACGGGGAGCGCGTGCCCCCAGATCTGCGTGCTGCCGCCGCCTGCCCCAAGCACAGCCTGGTAACACAGCCCAAGCACAGCCTGGCACCCTGCCATGCCATGAAGAACCCAGTGCAGCCCCAACCCCAGCCCACAGTGGCAGCCTACCCTGCCCCACACAAATCAGGGGCATGCGGCCCCCATGCCTCCCGGGGTGCATGTAGCAGCAGGAGCCATGCTCTCCGGATGAACTTCTTGCGGCTCAGTCCTGTGCTACTGGCCCAATGCCCCTCCCCCAGCCCTACCCCTGCTGCAGCTGCCAGAAGCCCTAGGGCAGGATGCCTTGCAGCCCTACCACTGACCCGTGTTTGAGGGGCATAAGCCCCATTAACCCCCTTCCTACCGCCGCCTATGCTTCTGAGTTGAAGAATGTTGATATCCTTAGGCTGTGATCCTGCAATGACCTCTGCATTCATGACTCCTGTGCTTACATGGACCTGTATGAAGTCAATGATGTTTTGTGGTGGCTCCAGGGTTTAACCACATAGGCCGTGTCCACATGAGCCTGCATGTGCATGTTGTAGCAACTCAAAGGAGTCTGAGATGCCACAGAAGGCACACCGTACACAAGAAAATGTTCCCTGAACTGCATATTTGCAGTGTAGACTCTAAACTTGGTAACAGGAAATCCCAGTATAAAAACAAAAATGCACTAGAAACAGTGGTTCAGGGTGTGCTCTCAGACCATGCCTGGAAGCAGCTGGAGGCTGGGTCCTCCAAGGAGACACTTTGGCAACTGGCCAGAGCATCTCTAAGGCTTTTGTGTCCCCCTGCTGTCCAGCGTGCTGCCTCAGCGTGCTGGAGGAAAAAAGCAGAGCATGGCTTGCAGGAGCTTGTGGCAACAGCAGTAGCAGGCAGTAGGCCCTTGGGGCACTCGTGGCTCAGGGCAGGCAGAGCCCCCCGGCAGTGTGCCACTAGCTGAGTCCTGGGGGCTGCATGTGGTGCCACGGAGCCTGCCCGGCCCGATGGCATGTGGATTGGGACCCATGGAGTGTCGCATGCCATTGCGCCAAGAAGGCTCCATGCTGCCATGTGCCGATCCCCACTGGAAGCTCCACATAGAGGCATGGAGCCAGCCTGGCCCAGCCCTAGGGTGTGCAGCTCGCCTGTAGTGCCAGGCCACATGCTGGCCTGAAGGCACATGCCAGTGGGCTGGGCCAGGCCAGTTCTGTGCCTCCACATTCAGCCCCTAGAACTCAGCCAGAGCCACGCTCCATCAGGGTACTCTACCTGTGGCAGGCCATGAGCCCCCTGAGGGCCTGCCACCTGCTGCTGGTGCTGCTGCCAGTGTTGGGGGCTATGCACCATGGGGATGAGGGCCGTGTGGCAGGGGTCCTCACACCCCTCTACAAACCCCATACCCACACACTTCCCACAAACCCCATCTTGCTGGGGTCATCTCATCCCAGCAGTCTTTCCTGCCCACGTGCAGGGGACTGGACCCAATGATCTGTAAGGTCCATTCGAGCCCCTAACATCTATGAAACTATGAAACCCCACACCTACCCACAGCCCTTTACAACCCCTGCACAAACCCCACACCCCTGTTACAAGCTCCACACCCTGCATGCCCAGCCACCAGACATGACTGAACCTGATGGTGGGAGCTGTGACCTCACGGGCAATTGCCACACTGAAGCCCTGCCTTGTGCCGATACCAACCTTCTGCCTGGGGGGGATCCTGGTCCTGGGAACCACTTGGGGGATATGATGGGCCGGGGGGTAGGTGGCAGCAAGGATGGGTGGGGGGCAGGGATTGAGGTGTCAGTGGGGTATATCTGTATATGGGCCAGGGGGGCAGCAGGGATGTGTGAGAGAGAGAGAGAGAGAGACAGATGTTGGGGAGGGGGGCACTTCAGGTAGAAGTGGCTGCCACAGCTGGGCTTGGAGCTGCCCTCCGCCCCTAAAGCAGCGTCTGCAGAGGGAAGCCATCCTAGAAGGGAAGAGGCTTGCCAAGTCAAGGGTTTCCCAGGAAGGGCATGGGGATCACTGGGGCCTGGGCACAGGCACAGGGAGCAGAACATCAAAGGCTGGCACTGCTTAGAGCCACAAAGCAGCAGGTGGGACAGCTGCAGCTGGACCCGTGTCCTGGTGCAGTGGGGGGCAGACTGGGGCTGTGGGTCAGGAATGAGGGGCATTGGTAGGGCTGTGAGTTGGGAGTGAGGGGCAAGAGCAAGGGCATGGGTAGGGGCAGGACACCAGCATATCAGTGCTGCTCAACACCACAAAGCAGCTGTGGGGACAGCCACAGCTGGCCCTGTATCCTCTTGAGCAAAAGGGGCAGAGAGAGCTCTGATTTCCTATGATAAAAAGACCCCAAAACAAATGCCAAAATATATAGTTATTTTTTATTATAATGATTAAGGCAGTGTTATGCTTCCAGAGTTCATTAAAATTGTAAATATATCAATAAAACATTGTGCTCAACTGATACCTATATATTTATAGTGATGTTTCATTTTAATCATAGAAAAACATGGATTTTGTGGTTTTAATCAGAGACTTTGCAATTCTTAAATAGAGAAAACTAGGATCCCTGCTGGTGAGGCAAGTGGCAGGACACCGGCAGAGCAGCCTGCCCAGGGCTGGCACATGGGACTCAGCTGGAGGGCAGATGAGGTGGCTGACCTTCTGGTTATTTGGGGCCAGGAGAACATGCTACGACAGTTCAAAGTGGGCCACCACAATGAGTACATCTTCTGGGGTGATAGCTGCCCAGATGGCAGAGCCAGGGCACCAGAAGACATGGTAGCAGTTCCACACAAAGGCCAACTGTGCAGCCATGGCCTGCTGGCAGCTGGCCCAGAGGTGCAGGTGGCTTTGCTGTAGTGCCTGTACCACAGCCCAGGTGGCCGTGTGGTCCCATCTAGGTCTGACAGGTGCACAACCATAGGGTTGCAGGTCCAAGGGGGTGGATGCTGTCACAGGCAGCAGCAAGTCACAGCCAGGCAGAAGTCCCCGCTTCCAGACTGCCGCAGTAGGTAGAGGATGTAGGGGCCACTCTAGGTCAGGGCTGCTGCAGCAGTCCAGCTGACACTAGAGGGCTAGTGTCCCCAAATACCAATTAACCAGGCCCCAGAAGCTCCTGTGTATTTGTTCATCCAATTACCATGGGCAAGGCCCACCTGGCTAACTAGTAGCCCCTTTTTATGGGGGCTAATGGACAAATGGAACAACTAAATTCTTGGGACAACTAATGAAAAAAAATGGGATAGGAGAGTCATGTGGGTCAAAGGGTCAAAATATGAAAATAAGTGTGCTTGAGGGGGACACTGAGCAGACCCCCCCTGAGCTGCACCCACCCATCCTCAGAGGCATCCAAGGAGCCAATGGATGCCGCCCATTGGTGCTCTGTCTGGAAACTTGCACAGACAATTGAGAGGAAAGCGGCCCGCAGTCTCCGGGCACTTTCCTGACCAGAGCCTCCTTCCTAGTCAAGTATAGGGCCCACTTGGCCAGGGCCAGGAGGAGGTTGACCAGGAGGTCCCGGGACTTGGTGTGGTCATGAATGGAGTGACGAAAAACAGAAAGGTGGGGGTGAATCTCAAAAGCACCTGAGGGCAAGTAGCCCTGAGCTGCTTGCCAGGGCCATTTTTTATACTACTGGGGCCAGCACAGGTGCTGGCCCCAGCCTCTACCTCCCCCTGGCTGAAGATCTAGGAGGAGCTGGGTAGGATCAGTTTGCCCCAAGTGGCACAATTTGCCCCACACCAAAGCACATGTTCTGGTACATGTGCTGAGGCACAAATCTCTAGCACAGATTTGTGCTGCTGCTATTTGAGCTGCTGCAAGTGCATGTGCCTGCATGTGTGGATGCCTCCGGAATGTTTAATATAGGATTGGGGATATAGAATTTCCTTCAGAAACTAAACCAGAGCCATGAAACTGATTTTTATGAGACAGTTCCCATCCGTATAAAGAATTGAAGCTATTCAAAATTGCCTTTCAATGATCTCTGCTGTATTATTATGTATGTCAAGTAGAGGGAATAGGGAATGAATCCATCCCTTCTCATTATCACTTGATAGAAGGGAGCCTGCACTTGGGTGTTCAGGTATGTTCATCTCTACTTTCCAACCCCAATGGGGACAAGGGAGGGTGATTGAGTTGTGTAGCAACCATGGCTTATGTATGGCATCTTGCTTAACATTTACTCCAAAGGCTTTTGGAGTAATTATATAGACTTCCATGGACATAAGTGGGGTTTAGATGAGACCTTACAATGCTTTCCTTTTTATAGTGGATGACAAAGTAAAAAAAGTCCTGTGTTCTTTGTTTGTTTTGCTTTTAAGATCTGCACCAAATTATTTTCAGCAGATGATTTTCAGCCCTTGGACCCCACCCAAGAATTCATATTTCCCCCAGAGCTAATGGTAAGAAGCATCTTTTGATTTTCTTGGTTTGTGCTTTTGCTATATCATTCATTATGTTTACATATATCTCCTTACTCATTTTAATGCCCCATCTAACATCATCTGGGAAAATATCACAGATTTTCAAAAAAGACCTGTAAAGATGTCTGACATCTTTCAGTTTGTTTTGTTTCAACAGAATAGTAGAATGATAGAAAATAGGTCTGGAAGGGCCTTGAAGTCATTACTGACAGATACTTGTCTAACCTTTTATAAACATCCAATGAAGAAGACATAGCTAGCTGGATGGGTAGGGATGGGGCTAGATTGCTCTCTACAGGCATTGCTAAGGCAGAAACTCTTCAGTCAAACACAGGGGTATGGGAGACCATCCTGCAAATGAGAATTTGTATTTAAACAATACATCTGGAAACATTCTAAGTACTGGTTACATTAACATGTCCCCTTCCTCCCCCCAGCCCCAATAATTCAGTCTCAGGCAGACACTCATCATAGCCCAGGCTTCAGACCAAAATTAAACTTTGACAGATATACAGGCAGCTGAAAACAATGGCTGGTAGTGGAAATTACCAAGCAGGCTTAACTATAGAGAGCATTACCAGCAGTAACCATGCTGAAGGGTCATCTATATACCACAGTACTGAGGAATACTTAAGGGATTTTTCAGGCTCTGCCCAGTGCTCGTGCTTCCTCTCTATCTCTATTGTCGTATATTTTCCTCTACAGAGAATGGCTGAAAGTCTGCCAAAAAGAACTCTGGTTTTCCATGGGGAAAGAACTACCTGGATTTCTCCTACTAGCCTTGATGAGCTTCTGGAGCTGAAAGCCAAGTACCCAAAAGCGCCTCTGGTTGTTGGTAACACTAGTGTAGGTATGTAGCATTAGAGTATGTCCTGTTAGACTGGTCCTTGTGTATGAACAGCATTTAGAATGTCTTGTGTATTTATGCTCTTAAACTGAGACTTAACAATGATAAAAACACAAGGGATAAGTAGTTTGTTGTGTTAGGCTTTGTACAGAAATTCAGTTTCTCCCGGGAGAGCTGCTCTGGAGAAACCATGATTGTACAGATGTCCAGGCTTTTTCTCCCATGGTAAAAATGGCCACTCCACGAGAAAAATAACATGGAAACAACCAGGGTTAAATCACTCCCAGGAGAGTGAATGTCTGTATATGCCGTGTTTTCTCTTATAAGACAGAATGGCCTCCCAGCATCCCCCCACTCACTCCTCGTGTCCCTTGCTGGACTCTGCTCCAGTAGACAGCATAACATGCCCCCTTCACAATTCCCACATTGTGCTGCAGGGAAGCACAGGCTGACCATGGGCAGTCTGGGTCAGCCAGTCAGAGCTGTCATATGCTCTGCTGCCATCTGCTGCCTGCAAAGTATGCTGAGATGTCCCCACTATTTGCAGTGTCAGCATTGCAAGCTCTTCACTCTTCAGAGCCTCAGCATTCAAATATATATACATGCAGCTCTGAGTAAGTTTATCTACCAGGAGAACAAACCTGGGAGAATTCTCCCAGATCATTTGAATGTGTGTATACAGCCTCTGTCAGAAGTCAGGCAGAAGCGGGTAGCACTTTAAAGACTAACTGGTTCAAAGATGCATAAGCTTTCATAGGCAAAAGCCTACTTCATCAGATGCTATATTCCAAAAAAGTAGTGATCTTCATTTTCTTTAAATCTTCTACTTATTAGGCCCTGAGGTGAAATATGAAGGAGTTTTCCATCCAGTTATCATTTCTCCAGTAAGGATCTTGGATTTGAATGTGGTGACATACATGGATGACGGTTAGTGGACCCTTCTCCCCCCTCCCTCCCCCCGAAATGCATGGGATTGCTCTGCATTAGTTAATGCTGGACTTTTTCCCAGTGAGGAGTGTGCAAATAACTGTACAGACACCTTGATTGTCCAAACATATGTAGAGATGCATGTGCTTGTTTCTACAAATCCTGAAATTGAAGTTATATTGGGATAGTTAATGCACATTAGCTAACCCTGATCTCAACCAGGACCAATTCTTTATTGCACCTTTTACCTCAGTTTAGCAGGTTGAGGTCAGCTCTTAGGAGAAACAGAGCTGAAGCTTTTGCCTCCTTGGTCTCCAAAATCTGCTTATGGAGGGTCATATAGCTCTTCTCTGTATCCCAGGAAGGTGGCACCTCTACAGTATCAGGAAGGAATGGCTGTGCTACCTCTCCAACACCATTCCTGTTCCCTCTGTTGAACCCCACAGAGGTTTTCTTTGGATCCAGCATTTGTACTTGGGAAAAGATAGGAAATGGATGGGCTAGTAGAAGAATGAGCAGATGTTCACAGGGGCCATGGACTATCACCCTATCCCACCTGCTGGAGAGTCCATGCAAAGATCCCCAAACTTTTAATAAACATTAATTAAGCCTCACAAGTTCCCTCTGTAAAGATATGCATTACTATTACCAGTATAAGTGAGGTAGTCAGGCAGTGGGGCAGGGTTGTGCAGCCTTGAGTCAGGAAGTTGAAGCAGTTTCCCGTGACCACAAAGGGAATTTTTGTCAGAATTAGGATTAAAGTTCATGAGTTTCTGGCTCAGGGTAAGTCAGCACTGCACTTTATGGGTGCATCCACACATGCAAGCATGTGTGCTTGCAGCAGCTCAAGTAGAAGCAGTGCAAATTTGAGCCAGGGCTTTTTGCTTCAATGCACATGCTCGGACATGCACTTTGGTGTGGAGCAAATTGTGCCACTTGGGGCAAGATAACCCTGCCTGGCTCCTCCCAGATCTGCAGCCAGGGGGAGCTGGAGCCTGGGGCCAACACCTGTGCTGTCCCCAGCAGTATAAAAGCTTCCCTGTCCTGGCTCCAGCAGTATAAAAAGCCGCCCTGGCAAGTAGCTCAGGGCTACTAGCTCTCAGGAGCTTCTGGGTCCCAGCCAATTGGTTCCTGGGGACACTACCCCTTGTGCCAGCTGGACTGCTGAAGCAGCCCTGAGAGTTCCCTGCACCCTCTACCCACTGCAGGGGGGCTGCTGCCTGGCTGTGACCTGCTGCGCACTTGCCAGATCTGGATGGGAACTGCACAGCCAGGAGAGGCATCTGTCCCTCTGGGCCAGCTGCCAGTGGACTGTAGTTGCAGGGTTGGCCTCTGTATGGCACTATTGCCATGTGTGCCCCCTGCCCAGCCATCTGGGCAGCTATCGCCCAGAAGATGTTCCAGGTGTGGTGGCCTGCTTTGAACTGTCAAAGCATGTCCTCGTGGCCCCATTTGGCCAGGAGGTCAGCCACAGCCAGCTGGGTCCAAGGTGCCAGCTCTGAGCAGGCAGAGTCCTGCCACTGGCCTCCCTAGTAGGAATTCTGGTGTTCCCTATTGGAAAACTGAAAAATCCCTGATAAAAAAAATCCCAAAGTCACTCTGTAAAATACCCCCAAAGCCGTGTTCCTCCACAAGTAAAACAAAACACCACTATAACGAGAGAAAGAGAGCAAGACAGAGACAGCAATCAGTTAGACAATGTTTTATTGATATATCTACAGTGGTAAAGCAAGTCTCTTATCACAGTAATAAAGTGAACTCTAAATATATGTTTCATGAATTCATGAATATATATTTTTTGCTGCCCTCTCACAGGGACGATGGCCCCCACACAGGGGTTACGGCCCCCCAACAGGGGGTCCAGCCCCCAAACAAGAGGTTTGCCCACCCAACAGGGGTTTCAGTCCCCAAACAAGTGTTACAGCCCCCAAACAAGGGGTTTGGCCCCCCCAACAGGGGAGTCAGCCCCTAACAAGGGATTCAGCCCCCTAATGGGGCGTTCAGCCCCCACACAAGGGGTATGCCCCCCCAATGAGGGCCAAATGGCCCCCACAGGGGCTACCACCCCCCCTGCAAGGCCCACATGCCCCCCCCACCTGCTGCCACCCCGGCCCCATCCCCCACCAGTTGCTGCAGCCCCCACAATGGCTTCCCCACTCAGCTTCACACCCACCAACTTGCACCCCCAGTCCACCATGGCTAACCCTACAACCTCAGGCACCATCACAAAACCCAGAAAAAAAAACAGAAAAAAAAATGGGGAAAAAAAGTCTCTGCTTACCTGAGAAGCAGGGGTGGGGGGGCTCCAGGGCCTCCTGGCAGAGCCCCCCCCGGCAGCACAGGACAGCCGGGGGGCAGGAGGGCCCGGGCTGGGGCCATTGGGGCTAGGCCTCGACTGTGTGG